TACTAGTCCGGTTGCCTAACCACTAGATTACCAACGTCACTTTCTCATCACTGTGCGAATCAGAGAAATCAATTTGTGTGTCAAGATGTGGAGAAATCAGAAGCTCGTCAATTTGTGGGCATATGGAGTTATTGATATAATCTTAGTAAAGCCTGATCATTTTGCTTGCTTCTGATGAAAAGATAGCCTTCTATCTCAAATAGAGGTCGAGATATTTTGCAATTGAATGAATTGGCGGTCACCTGGTGTCAGAAGTAAAATTGGCGAGAAAATGGCAGCCAAACTTGGGTGACTTTTAAAGCTGTACCGTCCTTGTATGTTACATATTTTGTGCCTTTGATCAAGGGTTTCCAGTAAATTCCATAGAGAGATAGTATGTCGTTTCAAATGCGTATAAAAAATGAGCTGAACGCAAAACACAAAAAAAAATTATTTTTTTTTTATAGTCGATAAGAATGTCGGCTATGTATTTGCCATTGTTTTGATGAATGCCTGATTTCACTACGATACCAGACGTATTTCACCAACGATAGTACTGAGACAGGAATGGGCCGAATGATCCGCGAGCACAAAATAAACTCGCCCCAATGCAATAAAGAGCACATACAGAAATGTAAACAGACAGATAAATAGAAATTGAATTATATTATCGACACCAGACAAGCAAAGATTAAAAATCGACCTAAACATAGAAACAGACCCTGTGCAATCAAACGATGTGTTAATGTACACCTATAGATAGTCAAACGTACATATTATAGACTAAAGAGTAAGATAGTGGGCTACACAAGTGACAGCGCATACTTAAGAATAAAACAACGAAGACAAATAGACACGATTCAAAGATTGTGCTTACGAACGCATACATAAAAGCAAGTAGACAGATAGACTGGTAGGTAGAGAATGGGTTTGAATTTAGTGACTGCAGATTTAATGTATATAGTAAAACAATGCATAGTGAATTGGCAGACACGATGATGCAAACACACTCTTTGTTCACGTCTACAACACTAGTGCATTACCTCATTATCTTACAATAGTCAAACAGACACGATGACATCAAACTCTGCCTTTACGTCTTCAAAACAAAATGTATATTTCTACCTGACAGACCCTTACCTCATTATCTTTCTATAGATAAGCAGACACGATGACAACAAGCTCTGTGTTTAGGTTTACAAAACAAATGTATATTTATACATGTACATGACAGACCCTTACCTCATTATCTTACTATTGATATCCCTCCGATCATCAGCGAGAGATCCCCTGCGATCGGCCTGGCCACTGGACGTAGACAACTGACCCTCCCTGTCACCTTGTCTGAGCCACCCGCCCTGACCACAGAGACAGGGAGCGTCTCCACATTGGTCACACACATATACCTGTCGACGTGACGTCACTGCGTCCACCTTACTAGAGCCTGGGGTGAAAATATCAAGATTGTTACCATGCAAAAACCTACAAGCTATTGGGGGAAAATTAGGAGTGAAGTGCCGAATAATAAGACTGTCGAAATTGTCCAACACAGCCACCCGTTGTGTGGGGAGTGGAAGGGGGGGGGGAGAACAGTGGTTGTCTTAGAAATGGAGACGTATTAGACAGTGTCGTTACAATATACAAATAAAACAAAAGAAAGGAGGGAGGGGGTGGGGTGGGGGTGTCAGAAGTGGTCGTTTGCACAGGTGATTGCACTGAACAGGTGGCCGTTAGAGCAGGTCTGGCTCTTTGTTAAAACAAAGTTATCTGAGAATTTATTATGTCTTTATCTTAGTCTTTCCATATCTCAGTTACGTTTCTGTGCTACACAAAGTATTGAGTAGACATATCTTTTTTTTTATGTGTCTCTGATTAATAAAAGTCTAGATCAAGATCGCGCTCTGAAACATAGATCGCGTTTACGATCTTCGAAACTAATCTGATGTGGACATGGCATCTCTTTCTCTCTCTCTCTCTCTCTCTCTCTCTCTCTCTCTCTCTCTCTCTCTCTCTTTCTCTCTCTCTCACTCTCTCTCTCTCTCTCTTTCAAAGGTTGACTCGCCATTGCTTACGGTCGCTAGCTGTCGCCATACACTCTGCTATAATTGTGCCAGTCATTGTCTTGATGTTACCTGGATACCTGGAGGTGTCGTCTCTGACTCAGAGATTGACATGTAATGACCCTCCACCCTTCACGGTCGCGAGATGCTGTTGCACATTCTGCTATATCCAGGCCAGTTCATGTTCTCATGTTTTCCATCTATGGTATTCTTTGCCTTCCTCTGGCCTTGATGTTATCGATCCACATTGTTCCTTTTCTACTCTAACCCTGACCTTAATTCATAATTTTGAAGCTAATAATATTAATTTTCACAAGCATTCTACATTATTGTTCAAAAGAGGCGTATGTGATGTAGCGGTCAGTCAGTTACACATGGCACGCAGAAAACCCGATGTCAATTCCCTTTTTCCTTGGTAAGTGTTTTACGGCGCTCGCAACTGCATAAGGTCATGAAATGAGAGCGCGGGACACTCGCGGGACTACACCAGGTAGTAAATTTTGAATTTTGCCCGGGTGGCGTTCGAAGCGTACTCTTATTGATTTTAGACCACCAAGGGATATTTAATGTTCGCAACTTGCACACAGGACCTCCGAGATTTTTCGCCCTTGTCTGAGAAAGCTAGGTGTAGATATTTCCTGCCAGAAGATCAGGGGTGTGGCTGAAAGACAGCAGTAAGAATGAGCCAATGAGTAGCAGTAGAAAGGCAGCAGAAAGAGACACGAGCCCAGAGGAGGGGCAAAGGAGGTGGGGGCAATAAGTGGAAACGAAAGCAGACAACAGAACATTGCTAGAGAGCAGGAAAGAGTGGGAAAAGAGACACTTTTAGAAGATAAAATGTTTCTTTCATTACGCAGATTCGAACCTAGGACCTTTGAATGAGAAGCGAACCCCTTAACCTCAAGGTTATGAAAGCCCCCAACCACGTCAATTCACGGGTCAGGAGATTTATCGTCGAGTATCGTGGTCTTTCTGATGGGATATTGTATCCCTCTCAGCCCGGGTTGGCTCTGACAAGCAAGGTCAAAATCCACCTCCTAAATCAACTAAAGTGTGTCTATAGGGGTGTAAAAACACCTATATTCAAAACAAAAACAAATTATGTTGCGTGGGTGGTTGGCTAGTACTCCGATGTGGTTTTCTCCTTTTGTCCTATCAAATATCTATCGTCCTGATCTCTCTTACTTCTTTTCTGTGTATGTTACTCTCTTGTAATACCTCTAATCTTCGGCTGTTATATGACCTTATTGTATTGCAAGTGCCGTAAAACTCTATCTTTAAAAAAAAGTTCTATTTCCAGATTAAATGGTATCTTACTACTAATGGAGCTAAGGCCAAATTTTGCGAACAGCATATTCTCAAAAACTACAGAATTAAAAAATATGAAACTTTGCCAGTACCCATAACTTTAAACGTAGTGTTGCACTACTATTGTATTTTCATTAAGATCAAATGTGTAAGAAGAAAGCCCAGTTTAAGTTAAATTCAGTCCTTTTGTAGCGTTCACCATCATTTGCTTCGAGATTGTATATTCACTGCGGAGTGCCGACTGCACCAAAGGGTATTTTCTGTTCAATTGTACATAAAGTAGGTTTACGGGAATTTCCGGTTTCGGTCTCACGCCTTTAGGAGGAGGGGGAGGAGGAGGAGGAGGAGGA